CCTGGGCTTCAGCTGCTTCCTGGAGACATGTGTAAGGATGGGGACCATGATTTGGAGGGAAAAGGCTCCTCTTACTCTATAGAACAACCTCAAGAGACCACCAAGTAGCCCATGGCCAGAGACTTCACTCCCAGAGTGTCAAAAATACATGGCGCTGTCCCGTGGCCATTCCCCTCTTCCCCCAAAGCCTTCTGGCAGTTTCTCCCACAAGCTTGCTCCTGTTGGCCTCGGAGCCTTCACAGTGTGCTCCCCCATCCAGGAAATGCCTCCATTCCTTCTGTGGCCAGGGCAACCTGTACCATCAAGCTGCACTTCTTTTTTTCTGAGATGGAGTCTTGCTCTTCTCCCCCAGGCTGGAGTGCAATGGCGTGATCTTGGCTCACTGCAACCTCCACCTCCTGGGTTCAAGCGATTCTCCTGCCTCAGCCTCCTGAGTGGGATTACAGGCGTGTGTCACCAATCCCGGCTAATTTTTGTATTTTTAGTAGAGACAGGGTTTTACCATGTTGGCCAGGCTGGTCTCAACCTCCTGACCTCAAGTGATCTGCCTGCCTCAGCCTCCCAAAGTGCTGGGATTACAGGCATGAGCCACTGCACCTGGCCTTTTTTATTTTTTCAAGATGGAGTTTTGCTCTGTTGCCCAGGCTGGAGTGCAGTGGCACAATCTCGGCTCACTGCAACTTCCGCCTCCTGGGTTCAAGCGATTCTCCTGTCTCAGCCTCCTGAGTAGCTGGGATTACAGGTGCACACCACCGCACCTGGCTAATTTTTTCTATTTTTAGTAGAAGCGGGGTTTCACCATATTGGCCAGGGTGGTCTCGAACTCCTGACCTTGTGATCCGCCTGCCTCAGCCTCCCAAAGTGCTGGGATTACAGGCGTGAGCCACCGCACCTGGCCTAAGCTGCACTTCATAAGCTCACCATGTGCATGTGTGCCCACCTTGAGGGCAGGCACCGATTGGGTCTGTTGTGTGAACACATCTGGTCCGTGCCGGGGACCCTGCTTGAGAGGGGGGTCTCTGGAAATGGGAATTGAATGAATGGGTGGTTCGAAGCTTGGATCTTTTCCATTGCCGGGTTGTCCTCACTCGTCAGTTCACCCTGCTAGGCCTCAGTTTTTCTGTCTGCAAAATGGGGTTGTACAGCCTCCTAGGGTTACATTGAGGACGGTGGGGAAGGGCAGGTACAGCTCAGTGCCTGGCTGACAGCAGGGCCGAATCCCTGTCCTTCCCTGTGTAGCAGGAGGACGACAAAGGGTGCTGCCTGGGTTTAAGAAGTAGAGCATCCCATGCAAATGACTCAAGACTGTGGCCAGGGAGAAGCACTCCGAGGAATCTCTCCTGCCTAGGAGACTGGGCTGCCTGCGTTGCCTCGTGCCTGGAATCCTAGCACTTTGGGAGGTCAAGGCGAGTGGATCGCTTGAGCCCAGGAATTCAAGACCAGACTGAGCGTGATGAAACCCCATCTCTACAAAAGATACAAAAATTAGCCAGATGTGGTATCACCCATCTGTAGTCCCAGCCACCGGGCAGGCTGAGGTGGGAGGATCGCTTGAGCCCAGGAAATGGAGACTGCAGTGAGCTATGATTGCACCACTGCACTCCAACCAGGGTGACAGGAGACTGTCACACACACAAAAAGCTTGTAGCAATTTGTTACCTTGGCCCTAGAGAACTGGCATAACGGCCATGGATTCTGACTTTGTAGATCCATGTAGGTTACACAATTGGGGTTTACAATTATTGCTGTGGGCATTTGGTTCTTACAAGTAGTGTCCAATCTGTGCCCTCAGTTTTCTCTTCTGTTAACTGGGGCTAATAATGACACCTGGGAGGAAGGTATAAGGCCACGTAAAGCAGAGTTAAAAGGGAGTCTGGGCCAGGCGCGGTGGCTCACGCCTGTAATCCCAGCACTTTGGGAGGCCGAGGTGGGCAGATCACGAGGTCAGGAGATCGAGACCATCCTGGCTAACAGTGAAACCCCGTCTCTACTAAAAATACAAAAAAACTTAGCCGGGTGTGGTGGCGGGCACCTGTAGTCCCAGCTACTCGGGAAGCTGAGGCAGAATGACGTGAACCTGGGAGGCGGAGCTTGCAATGAGTCGAGATCGTGCCACTGAACTCCAGTCTGGGCGACAGAGCGAGACTCCATCTCA